AGAGAATACACGATATGCAAAGTACTATAGACAGACTTACAAGAAACTGTAAACAATAAACAAGGGATCATAGATTTATCTCAATATCATCCTTCAATCTTTAAGGACTTAAGTCAGATATGTTCTTATGTTGGTTTTTCAGTTATAATTTCATTGTGACACTTCAAGATGACATATTGAAATTGCAAGGGACTTATAATGTCAGGTTTTCAGATCACATTATCAACAGTTGGTTACGGTGATAAAACACCCGAAACGTGGCCTGGTAAAATAATTGGTGCTTGTTGTGCGCTGTTGGGCATCTCATTCTTCGCGTTACCTGCTGTTGGTTTTCAGTTTGAGAGTGTATTTACTGCTAGATTCATTCGTTGTGTAGCTGAAGTCATATTTGAACTGCTCGGATTGGTTGAATGTCAATTTAGGGTATATTGGGTAGTGGTTTCGCACTGAAGGTGCAACAACATCAACGCCAAAAGCATTTGATACGAAGACGAGTGCCTGCGGCTCGACTCATTCAGTGCTTATGGCGACATTATGCGGCCATACCCGAAAGCTGTTCGGTAGCCACCTGGAAGGTGCATCTAGCACCTCAACAGTCAACCGGGTCCGTTTCAGTCTATGCAAAAAGCACACCATCAACGAAACCACATTAACCGTTCTCCTTCATATACTCATACGATTTCATAGTAATTTCATACTGTTGGTGATGATCTCATGAGGCACTCACTGATTACGCATAGACCATATGAATGTCGATGAACTGATTTAAGTTACGTAGTGTACATCCACTTCGTCACGCTCGAATTATCAGAATATCATTTCACCTAAATAATCGAATAGACCCGAATGGGAATTTCCGATTCTGTTCCATCTCTTTCTGCATGTACCCACGTTTCATTATCTTCTGAAGGGATAACAATTATTCCTAGGTCTATCTGTCTGTCATTCGAATTTCAAATTTCCAAACAATGCACGAGTACATATGAATCTGATTTAACTTGCACCATACCTATACTATACTTACCTGTACTATTACTCTCTATCTGTCTGAATAAACTCAGAACCAGGTTCGTTTCATCACTAACCAGTCAGCACATTTCAACCGCATCCAGCAAACGAAAGCACGCAATGAATTGGTGTACTCGTATTAAGCCATACGGTGGTGGCACTGCGACAGTATCTGAGCTCAAACATCAACATCATGCTTCTCATTCGATGAGAGTCTCGATCCGAAAATACCTCATACAAGGCCGTTCAAGGTGCGCATAGTATTATATCAGACATCAAGCTTCGCTCAGCTCGGATATCGATCTGATTTTGATTGATCCATTGATTTGATCCGATTGATCTGATTGGTCCAGGTCTAATCTCATCAACGGTTGATCCGCTAATGCTGCTTCTTATGCATGCGCTGGAGTGATTCAAGCGCTGCATGTTTTTCCAATCTTGATCATCATTATTCTCACCACTATTGCTATAATTCCTGCTAGTATCACTGGTCTCGCACTCATATCTATGTGATTTATCATGCATGCCGACGACCCCACGTCCCTGTGCACGATCAGACACCTCCTATTTCGTGCTTATGCATGCGGTCCGTCCTGTGAAAATGCTCTTGAATGCAATTACTTTTGAAAACGAATAGGATGATTGTAAAATGAGGTGTAGAACT